CAAGCGGTCATTATTCTCGGTTAAGTTTGAAGACCCTATTCAGGGGAAATGACTCCGTTCACTGATCTTTGTGTCATTTATGATGCTTTGGTACAGAGTAGGAACTGTGCACTCTATCGGATGCTGGAAATCGATAACTGTATAATTCGTAAGGTATTTCGAATTCATTTTTTTTACTTTCCTCAGTTTTTTTTAGATGCCATATTATGCTGCTGTACAGCTTTATTTGCGTTGCATCTGTTTCCCTTTTATTCCTATTCTGTCTTACAGCAGTTGAGGGAGCTGTCTTTGAATTTGCAGTTAATTAAACAACTTCTTTGTCAAATCTCAGTCATTCCAGTGTAAAGAACTTGTTTTCAGTCTAATCTTGGTGTTTTATGTATTAATGAAATGGTATAGGAGATTGTTATGTGTTACCGTATAACGCGGTTATCCTTTCATACTGATATAGACTATAGACTGTAATTAATTCTCCTTTCGATTCTTACCGATAGTTTGTTGACTGTACGACATTACCGTCTCAACTCGTCTAGATCCTAAGCCACAACCTAAACTCAGACTTATGCAAGCCAGTTTAGGCCTTAGGTATTCGACTAAGCTTAACCATAAAGTAGTCTAGTAAATTCGAGGTGTTTTCAGTCTGAAATGAACCGCAAATCAGTTTTAGTGTGCTGGCATGAATGGATTAGCATTTTGCATGCATGCTACTTGATGCACATGGTACTGAAGATAATGTAAGATTACGGAATTTGCTATCCGTGGAACTACATGCGATGAATTGCGTTCATGAAATTCTTCGTGTTTTCCCTAAAATATTTCTATTTGTTTTATTATTTCTTCAGAAAATATGGTGTGTACACGGTTAATGATGTGACACAGATAGTGATCGAGGTATAAATACAATTTCTACTCGTGTAACTGCACGAAAAGCCACAATTCCTTGATTATCATAAACGTCCATTTACTTTATCATGAATACCTGAAATGTTGAGCAAAGCGTGTATCCTGGTTTATCTTACGATAGTAATTCCTTCTGCTAACGTTATGTCTAACGAAAGCTGTCATGCGCCCCTCCCCCCAGATGCAGTTTTGTTTGGAGTAGGTTAAAAATATTGATACGGCAGATAAAGCGATATGAGGAACGTGTGTCATGTTCTGAGACGGATTTCTTTTTGCTTATGGCGTTATAGTCGCTGACTCATCTGTTTGGTTTTTAACAAAATTTACTTCTAGCACAAATTTTGTTATTGGCTGATCTTCAGTGTACACAGTGATTAATCGTTTAGTGAAGAAAAAATGTTCGGCAGTGCATCTAGTTTTTCACCTGGCATTTATGGCAGCCTTGGCCTTGGAATGACCACAACAACCGGCACGCATAATCCGATGAAAGATTTCGAAGTCCTGCATCCTCCAGATGACAGCATACAGGCGCTGAAATTCAGTCCCCCTTCAATTCCTCAGAACTTTCTCGTTTCCGGAAGCTGGGACAACTCTGTAATTCTGCTTGTTATTCTACTCATTTTATAATTTTTTAACGTTAATTTTTCAGGTCCGAGTGTGGGAAGTAAAACAGGATGGGAAAACAGAGACTAAGGCTGAGCAAAAAATGAACGGACCGGTTCTCGAAATCGACTGGGCTGATGTAAGCGGGGTCGATTGTTGTCCATCCGATGTGATAGCATTCAACTTTAAAGCCTTTGTTTATATTTTAGGATGGAAGCAAGATATTCATCGCTTGCGCAGATCGAACAGTTAAAATATGGGACATTGCCAGCAGTCAAATTATTACTTTAGGACAGGTATACCTGTTGATTTTTATCACATTAACTTTCTGCAACTTTGCAGATTTATTTGGTCCAAGATGCTGCGTAAAATACTAGCTATAAAATCGTTATAATGCTGAAAACCTCGACACAATAGTCAGTCAGTTTTAATGACCGTTTATCCTTTCGGGTCGCGGAGGCACTGGTCAGACGATGTCTCTGATGTTCCCGATTCTGTACCAGTGTTTCAGTTTCGGCAAATGATGGAGCAGAATCATACATATTCTCTACGTCATTTTTAGCCGTTTCTTGGGTCTCCGGCCGGTCCGCAGAGGTTTTCGCCTTTCTTTTTAGAGGCATTCACAGCGCATGCCCAGACCATCGCAGCGTGACTTCTCAGTCTAAAGAAGCACCAGCTGTCGGATGTCTGTACTATGGACTCTGTCGACGCATTCGTCTCACAAAGCCCTGTGATTTGTCTCACAAAGCTCATTTCAGCCGCTTGTACCCGGGATCGAAGTTTTCAGCCGTGGTCCACGACTCATGACCGTCGATAAATGTTTCATATTTTCTTATTCTTTCAGTCAGTGTTATTATGACACGTGAGAACGTTAAATGATGGCATAAAAAATTCTCAGCTGGAAGGATTCAGTGTACTGTAATACTATATATGCTTGAATATACTATACGATTTATTTATGTATAGAAATACAGCAGAGGGATCACAAACGGATGACGCCAAAATATTTTTCTGCGCATGTTTTGTTAATTGGGAAGTGGAAAGTGCGGATATCTGCCTTCTTTATGCTTCTTTGATTGCACACCATTTGTTGCACCTTTGTGTGGAGTATACGACGTGACGCTAATTGAGCAGGGGACAGAGGTATTGGATCATCGTTCCCCTCTTGCTTTTTGTGAAAGTTTCAGAGAAACCGATGGTTCTTAAGCAGAACAATTTCAGGCATCGTTAAGAATCCGACCTAGTGATAGACTCAGGGCTGATATCGAAAAGAGACACAGAACAAAATTCTTCTGCAACTGAACATTGAAGACATCTCTTTCTTTTCTGTAATATAGCTGCGGGAAAAACATTGTCGACCGTTTAAGCCCACAGAAGGCTTATGCTTAGTCAACGGAAGCTCACCATCTTAACTTTCATCAGACCGATACTTTGTTCTGACCTGAACTACCGTGACCATGGCAGAGTTGCTCATGTGCAAAGCAGAGTCAGAGCTTCTGCGCTAGCGTGAAATCAGCCCTTATTGACGTTAAGGATGCAGATTTTGTTTATTCAGTTTCTACACATTTAAATCTATATGAAATTCTTAGAACGAAACATGTCTTCTGTAGATCACATTAGTTGAGTATTTTATCAGAATGTGTCTGGATGCAGAATTTATTTAACGATCCGTTTTGAATAAAATTTTTATGCGCAGATGTGATCTGTGGCGCTGCATAAAGCATTTCTTACATCTTTAAAATGCTAGATTAATTAATTAAATTTAATTTGCAGAAACAGAATTCGTATCGTTAATTTCACATAAAAATATGTAAGTTCGCTGCATGAACCAATTTATAGAACAAGGTTAGTTATACGACTGAATAATTAATTTCAGTTAAAAGTTCCATGAAAAATTACAAACAACTTTTTAAACTTATAGGGCGATATTTCCCAGCATAATAGTGGTTTAAGACGCTAAATATTCAAAAAAATTATTCTAAGAGTAACTTAATTCCTTCCTTTTCATAAATGGCTGTTCCCATTAGATTGCTATTTAGCCGCTTGAGGTGATTATTTAATGGCTAATAGTTTGCAGTCAGTCAGTGAATGCACAAACCGGATTCCAAGCGGAAAGGATCCCAGTTGTTCAGCGTAATCAGCCATATGACCGAAAGTTGCTCCATGGCTACTTGCTGTTTGGCGTTGTGAAGGGATTCACTTTGTTTGTATTTCTTATAGTATCCTCACCACATGACTACATTGTCACACGTATGACCTCTAGGTCTGTTAACATAGAGGTTAACTCGTGCGTGGCAGTTAGGCACTTTTATTTGAAAACAATGGACACTAGGAAATAAGCTCTTTTTTGCCGTGTGCATCCCAAGACTTATCTTTCTGTCAGTATTTAACGGACGTGATTATAAGTTAGAGTAAGTGATGTTCCTATTTCCCTCTCCACTCGAAGTATCCTGTAGGTCCCGTGAACTTTCCTTCGAGAGTGCCGTAGGATGTTGCAGTTACTTTTTTTACGATGCTTCTTTGCACTCTACAGGCAACAGTCTTCTCTGTAGCCTATTGACGCTTAGCTATTCTCCTGACCCTAACTACTTCAAAATGACGCCAAATTGAAGTCTTTGTACGCTTCATCGAATCTGCTCTTCCTTTCTGTGCATTAAAAGGGGGTCGCTAAAGATAACTTTGCTTCCTTTTGGTTGGCTGGCCACATTACTTCGTTCTGTTGTAGCCTGTCAACATCGAGAAGTTCGTAACCATAAGACGTAAGTGCTGCGTGACTAATTTTAGACGTAATTCCGCTATGATCAAAGGGCGATCTGATGCAGATGTCGCGTCTGGATAAATCTCGAGTTTTGTGGCTAGTGATGATTTCATACAGTTAGATGTTTGGGCTCCTACTGGTAACTTCCAGGTGGCCTAGTGAATTATCGTGTGGGAGAATAGAGCCCCGACGACGAGGAATCTGTTTCTCGCGCAGAAATTTAGCCGACGTCTGCCGTTATCATTCGCAGTGACGGCTGAGTTGGCACTAACCTTCGCTCTGCGGCCGCCTGTGACCACTGTCTTCATGACTCAAGAAATCACTGACAGGCGATGGCAGTCGTCTTTATGTATGTCTCTCCACACATTTGTTAGGGAACAGGCGACACGGATATTCTGTCCCTCCTGTTTGGCATTTACGCGATGGAGCAGGATTCTCTGAGACACTTGTTCCATAGAAATGACCGCTCAGCTTGCCCTGATGGGAGGGGAGGAGCAAAAGGATGGCCACAATTTACTCAGCGTAATTTACTATGGCTCGAACACCAAAATAATTGCGCGTCATGCAGGTCAGGAGTCTCATATCGTGACCGCCATTACATTGAATTTGTACCGACGGGCCGTACGACAAACGTAAGCTAAATTGTCTTTAGCCTTCTCCAGGCATGGAAGGAACGTTCCAACACAATGCGAAAAATACTTCTTGTAACGTTAGTCACTCGTACCGCATATTTCTTGCTTCCTTGTTGTTTGGTAAATTGTGAGCAGGAATCGCACGTTTCGTAGCAGCGATAGATGTCGTCTTCGCTATTAAATCAACCGATCGCCTGCTGTCGATAGTATATGCATTTCGTCAAGTTACGTTAGACGAAGTGCTTAT